TCCAATGTGTTGAGCAAGTCAGCAGATTTGTATTAACCCTTTTCTCAGAGAAACTGTTTCCTTCTGTAGAGGGGAAGGAGAGAGAGAGGACCAATGGGCAGTGGAAAGAGAATTCAGAATTAATGCAAGATAACAAAGCAAGCAAATTATTTTCTCATTAATTAATACAGTCTTATGTGCCTGTAGGTGTTGTGGAGGTACCATTTGTAGAGCTGTGCTGTGCTCTGCTTCTCTCAGAGGCAAGAAAACGAGGCACTGCTGACTCACTGCCTTTCTGCCAGTTAACTGCTCCAGTAGGCCGCGCAGCCTTTCAGGTGCCTTTAGGTACACTTACCCTACACCCCATGGAGGGGCTCAAAGTGGAGTTGGGCAATATTCAGGCAAGCCAGAAAGTATGGTACAGTGTGACCTACAGCCACTTCTTGACTCCTGCTTTGGGATCTCATCCATTAGTGCACGAAATAGATAAGGGGACTCCCCTTAAGAAGCATGCCTTCTAAGTGAGGAAAGACAGGCAGGCAGGCAGTAAACAAATACATGAGATCATTTTTTTGTGTGATAAAACTATAAAGGGGCAAAAAAGGGGGGGAGCAGAAGATATATGTTTGTTTATATACAGAGAGGAAAAGCTGTTTATGAAGTCATCTCCAGTGGCTGGGATTATGGAGGATATTTGTACATCTGGCAGTGTTAAAGCAATTGTAAAGAGTAAGTGTCTATTTTTATGAAAGCCAATATTAATTACAATTATTTGCTTAAACAAGTTCCTTTGCATAATGAAAGGATAGACCTCAGTGTCTCTCTGTCTTATTTATTCCAAATTTCTAGTTGGGCTTGATGTATGTACTGACAGGGAAAATATCCCTTTTGTGAGGAAAGAAATTTAAACAGCAATTTGTGTGGAAAGCAAGTATGTTTACCGTACTTAAACATTCCTGAAATGATGTTTAAGCAAATCTTGTGTTTGCTTAATAAAACAAAAAAAGATGTACTTTTAAAAACATACTCTTTAACTTCTGTAGACTTAATCATGTTAAGGAACTTAGCATTAATTCACCTGTACACCTGTATTATTCAAGGAAAGGAAATGACTTGGAAGTTGAATAAATGGTACTAATCAGTAGAATCTTAGTAAAAAAATGAATGGGAAATAATTATATAATAGACTACTTGAAAGGCTTTTTAAAAAATCTGTTTAAGATAATGAAGGTGATACACGAAGTTTATCTACCCTATTATTATTGTTTTATATTGGCTTCATTGTAATAGCCGGTAGAGATGACTTTGTTATACATCCGTTTGCAAAACTCTTGCTCAGGCCATGAAAAGGCTTTCTGAAAGAACTAGAAAATAAAAATACGGAAAAATTACAGATTCCCGTGACTGTGAAGTCATGTAATCCATCTCTGTCCCAGAGCAATACCCTGAAATATCTGAGAGAACAGGTTTTCTTCACTGAGATCTCCAGGAGAGGAAATTTTGTTTTGCCCCTTTAAATATTTCCTGAAAGTTTCCTCCCCTTGAGATTGGTCTACTTTCTCTTTGACTGCTCTCTGTATCATTATCTTAGCACACAGTTAGTATTCACTTGTCACTTAAGATAATTTTTGCCATTTTTTTAATTAACCTACTTTTTCTTGGGAAGTGAGTTGGAAAGAGTTTGTAAATTTTAAGTTTTTTTCCTGTGGCCTTTTCATAGGCTAGTCACTAGGAAAATTCTTAATTTGTAATACACAATGTTTTGCCTTCTTGGTTTCTTATCCCCCCAGAGTATGTGTGTAGACAACCACAAAGGAGTTCTTAATTTTGGGGGTTTTCCATCGAAGCAACTACACTCCCACCCCCAACCCCCATGCCTAACTAACCATGACGACAGCATTAAAAAGTTACTGTGTGTGTTCGTTACGTGGTCACTACATGGTTTTTCAGGGACTTTTCTTTGGAACAACCCTCACATTCAGTACTAACCACAGAGTTTCATGACACTTTTATTGTTGTTATATTGTAATACAGCCTTTAGATCAAGGTGGCAGTAACATTAATGTATTCTTTTTATTTTTTTCCACCTTCATTTTACAAAGGATTTGAGGCATTGATGAAAACTGTAATTTAGGACTAAAAGTTAAAAAGCATTTATCACTGTCTTTTCCTTTTTGTTTTAAAATTTTGACTTTTTTCGAATAAACAAGATTACATGTTTCTTTTTTTTTTTTTTTTTGTCTTTTGTCTTTTTCCGTGTCTGGCAATGGGTCGCAACCCTCAGTGTTGCCCCCGTACCGGACCGGGGACCGGCAACGGGATTGCAACCCTCGGTGTTGCTCCTGCACCTCGCTCAGCCAGTGAGCGGGAACCGGTCCATATGTGGGATCCGAACCCTCGGGCGGGAGCGCCGCCGCACTTCCCAAGCGGCGCACTATCCAGTGCGCCACTGGGCCAGCCCATGTTACTTTTTTTTAAGTGCAAAATATCTCCTCTCCTAGCTTGTCCCTTTGCCCAGTTTTCATCCCTGAAGGGAACTGGTATCAGATTACTGTGTATTCTTTCAGAAATAATTTAAGTGTAGACATTTTTTCCTTTTTCTATACAAATTCTTGCACATCATAAGTACTGTTTTATACCTTACTTTTATCATATAAAAATTTATCTTTGAAGATATTTCCAAAGTTAGGCATAAAGACTTTTCTGATTTCTTTGGCCGTTGTTTAGAAGGTTCACAGTTTGTTTAGCCAGTCCTCTATCGATAGGCACTTAAGTTTCCATCAGTATAAATAGCTCTGTAGAGAAGAACCTTGTACACACATGATTCTGTATGTTACTTCTTTGACAAATATTTCTTGAGTACCTCCTCTGTGCTAGGCAGAGTTCTAAATTCTGGGAGTACAGCAGTGAACACACAAACTCCACTCTCAACGAGCTTGCATTCAAATTGGGGAGACAGACAGCAAGCAAATAAAGAAACACACATATACAAATGGTTAGGGTTGATAAGTGTTTTGAAGAAAAGTAATGTAAGGATCTCCTTGAACCGAGGAGAGGTAGATTGATTAGTGGTAAGTGGGTTAGGCCCCAACCTCATTTACCTACCATGTACACAAATTCCGAAAACCCACAGGATAGGGAGATGCTGGGGATCTGTACTCTAGGAATGAAATTGAGGACTCAAGAGCAAAATATTATTCCAGCTGTCCATCTAAGGTAGAGGATGAGTCCTATTAATCTTTATTTCTTCCCTCTCACACCCAAGGCCAGTGTTTTGTACCTTTCTTTGTTTTTTGTTTTTGGGTTTTTTTCATTACCCACAACCTTCCTCCTTTCCCCCAAAAGCCTTTTTAGACATTTTTTCCCTCTAAAAATTTTTATATAAGCTGTATCAGTTTATATACTGTGGCCATTTGGAGGGCCACAAACAGTTATAATATCCAAGTTTTTTTGCCCCACTCCCCAAAAACCAATATCGTAGACCCTCACAGAACATAGACTCAATCTGTAGCCCTCTGGCCTGCCAGCCAGGCTGTTTTTCTGTATGAATGGTAGCAAAATCACATGTACCATATTTAACAACTCATAGCATTTTAAAAATAAACGTGTATTCAGCACTTCCAAGGTATTGGAGAATAACTTAGCACTTTTCATGTACATTAACTGATACCATCTTCACAACAGTTGCTCATAATAGGTTATAATATCCCACTTTACAGATGTGGGGAAGAGGGTCACACACAAAGTCCTCCAGTGTCAGCACTGGTCCTTCTTATACCACTCTCTCCCTCTGCCTGTACTATAGCACGTACTAACATAATGTAGTAGAGTTGACTGCATCCTAAGTGCCTCTGTCCCAAGAATGTGGACTCTCTAAAGGTAGAAACAGTGTTTTATGAGAATACTTCAAAAAATTCATGAAAATACAGAGTTTAAAGATAATACAAATCTTTCCATGAACTTTTTGAAGTGCCCTCGTATTCATCTTTGCTCATCCAGCTCCTAGCATAGGGTGTGGCACAGAGTAGATATTGGGTAAATAAATGATGGATGGACAGACAAACGAATAGGACAACCAGATGGAAAGACTGACAGATGAATACACCTACTTGTTCGTAAGATTATTTCTTGAGTGAAGGGACCCACAAACTTTTCCATCTCTAATCTGGATCTGCAGGTCCCTGTAGTCGTGGTTTCTGCACTACCAAAACTGATTTCACCAAGATCACTAGGGGTCTCCTTGAAGACAGACTGTATTGTAAACTCTTCTCAGTCCTTTTTTTGCTTATTATTTTCATACTTGACCATCCCTCCCTTGGTTTCTCTGTCACTCTTCTCTCCAGCTGGATAGCAGATCCATCTCCTTCATCTTTGTAGATCCCTCTTTATACCATCTTAAAATCAAGAAGACCCAGGCCACTACCTCAAAGCAGTGAAAAATATCTACTCTACAGGTGTAGATTGCACTTCTCAAATATCTTGACTTTTTAATGGAGTCTAGGCCCTGAGGATACAGCTGTGAACAGAACAGTCAAGGTCCATGCCCTCATTGAGCTTATTTTCTGGTAGAGGAGACGGAATACACATGTAAACAAACAGTAATTTCAGATAATGGTACATGCTATAAAGGAAGTTGAACAAAAGTCAAATTAAGATCCAAATTAAGGTGGCAATGAAAGTGCTGAAATGATTTTAGGAATTATTTATACACGTGTACATATACTATAGCATAGTACTTAAGAACTCAAGCTCTGGAGTCAAATCACAGCTCTCCACTCAAGTGCTGTGTGGTTCTGCACAAGTGACTCCACCTCTGTCTCCTTTCTACAGCCACGAAGTAGGGGTGATTGTGCTGCCTAACCCATGGAGGTGTTGTGCAGGTTTAATGAGATGAAGCTCATAAAGCCATTCAGCAGAGCCTGGTGTGTGAAAAATGCTCAGTCAACAGTAGCTGGTTTCATTGTTCTGTGTGCATATTCTTGTTTAACTGTCTCCCATCTTTCCCTTGCTTTGCTTTTCAGCTCCAGGGTCTGAGCCACAATGTGATCTTCACCTTGGATTCTTTGTTAAAAGGAGACCTAAAGGGAGTCAAAGGAGTAAGTGTTCAGAAATTTGATTTTCACTTTAACTTACAAAGATTGATTTTTTTTTCCTCTCTCTTTTAAGATCATAGTAGTGCTTGTATTTGAAAGGCACTCTGAGTGTAAAAAATGTTCTTGGAAAATGATCATTGGAAAAGATGTGACGCTTCACATAATATTATTGACAGAGGAACGAGACTAGACATTTTCAGGGAGATTGAGAGCCTAAGTGGGTGGGAGAAAGAAGCTAAACCGGAGTCTTCCTCCACCCATGTCACTTCTGTGGGCCCAGCCTCTCTCAGAACCTCTGGGTCCTGCTTCGTGGACATGACCAGGAGCACTCACCCCTCCTACCTCCCTCAGGCTACTCATGTGTAATAAATGGTATAGTGTGCATGAAAGTGTCTTGTAAAGTTTTGAGTGTCGTACAAAGGAAGTCATTTTTGCTAATGTTATTTCAAAATTATTTATTAATTTTAAACAAAAGTAAATGCAATTTCAATTTTATTTTCTCTTTTCTAAGGATCTCAAGAAGCCATTTGACAAAGCCTGGAAAGATTATGAGACAAAGTTGTAAGTGTTTTTTTGGTTTGTTTTTGTTTGGTTTGGTTTTATTATATTGTTATGAGTTTCATAAGAAAAAGTAACTGGAGAAAGGACAGAGAGAGCACTTAACTAATAATCTTCTCAACAAAAATAATTTAGTATATCCTTATTAAGGGCTAAGAGATTGGGCATGCTGACCTAAGTAAAAGTGATTACATTTCCTGTGCTAGTTGTCTAGAGTGAGAGAAACTTTTACTGTCAACTTTGCATTTATGGCTGCTGGTCTTGACTATCAAGTTGTAGATCTGTGACTGCTGCAACTTTTATTATAGTTAGCCTGTAACTATGGACCATTTACGTTTCTGCATAGTATAACAATTGGGAAATAAGAAAAGTAATAGGCAATGTTTGTGACATCTGCCTGCCAGCATCTGTGCCACGTGTTTTTTATGTGCGTGACCTCCTCACAGCAACCATGAGGGTACTTCAGAAAGTTTGTGGAAAAATAGAATTAAGAGGTAATATGAATTTTTCCATGAACTTTTTGAAGTACCCTTGTATCTATACATCTTTTACTGTCTTTTTATGTATCAGGGAAACTGAAGCCTGGAGATCCCAAGGGGCTTGCAGAAGGTTATAAAGCTTATAAGTGAGCCTGAGTAGCCTAGTGTGGGCACTGTTGTCAGACCACCTACCTTGTGGAGTTATTGTGAGGGATTAGGGAGATAAGAACTTTGTGTGGTGCCTGGCTCATCTTTATACTGTATGTATCATGCCATGTTCCTTTATTATTATTACTCTGAGACATTTGTAATACCAGGTGGCAGGGTGGGAAGAGATAATATATTTTAACGCCTTTAATAAAAATCTTGGCTATAAACTTGGGTAACTATAAACATAAGAGAATAAAAACATTTCTGTAGTCAGCAATAGCAGCAGAATGAAAACAGAAGCAAAAGAAAAATATTCAAGATAAAATACGTTTTTCCCAAACTACTTTTGTAATTGCTTATGTAATAAGTGCATTGTTGGGGACTTGCTGCCTTAGTAATAGTTTTGTGTATTGACAGTTATAAAAGTAGCTGAGAACAGAAGGGCTCTAAAATTGGCCAACTGATGTAAATGAATGCTGTGGGCCATGTGTCTGTATGAAAAGTGGGTCATGAATACTCACACTTGTGAGCTAAGTACTGTCCCAGTCAAGAGGCAACTGTGCACACACTTGGGATGGAATAGAACCAGGTACTTAAAAATGGGAGGGGCATGGGCCGGCCCGGTGGCGCACTGGATAGTGCGCCGCTTGGGAAGCGCGGCGGCGCTCCAGAGGGGCATGGGCCGGCCTGGTGGCGCACTGGATAGTGCGCCGCTTGGGAAGCGCGGCGGCGCTCCCACCCGAGGGTTCGGATCCCACATACAGACCGGTTCCCGCTCACTGGCTGAGCGAGGCGCGGGAGCAACACCGAGGGTTGCAATCCCGTTGCCGGTCCCCAGTCCGGTACGGGGGCAACACTGAGGGTTGCGATCCGTTGCCGGACACGGAAATAAGACACACACACACACAAAAAAAAAGTGGGAGGGGCGAGTCCACAAAGGGAGGAGAAAAAACCTTGCTCTAGACTTGTTATAAGACACACACACACACACAAAAAAAGTGGGAGGGGCGAGTCCACAAAGGGAGGAGAAAAAACCTTGCTCTAGACTTGTTACAGAGTATGTCTCCATTATAGTACAGAGGGACAACAAAACATAATATGTTGATATGTGCATTATCAACCAAAGTTATACCAATATTAGATGGTATAAATGTATTTATATAAGTCTATGTGTTTATTGAAGACCTTGAAGTATGTGGTGGTCAGTATTATGAATATCATAGACTGTAAAGCATTTTAAGATGGTCCAGGTCCCCTTCATTGCACTTCTCTCACATGATAGAACATGTCTGGCTGTTCATTTGTCTGTATTATCCTCCAGAATCTAAACTTGGTGAGAGCAGCAACTATGTTGTTCTTGTGTATGTTGTTAATCTCCCACTGCCTAACAGAGTCTTTGGCACATAATTTGTGCACTATGTGAATATTTATTGAATTAATAAAGGGATTATCTAGATCTGGAAATGTATAGCAGGAATAGTGAGTTTAATGGGTCCTGATTTTAGGACTTTACAAAGGAAGGTTTTGTTTTTGTTTTGTTTTGTTTTTAATAAATCCTTGTCAACAAATTATTTTCCTGAAATAAACCTTTCCTGCTGAAGTACAGTAGTATGGGGGTAGGGAGAAAACAAGCATTTGTCTATTTGATGTGATAGGACTCATTTGGTTATAAGTTACAGAAAATAAAATGACTTACACAAAAAGCTAATTTATCATCTTTGATAACTGAGAAGGCTGGATGTTTTCTGTGGTCTTCCATTTAGAACTCAGGAGGGCAGTGATGGTTAAGATCACAGACTTAGGAATCATTACCAGTTTTACAACCTTGAGCCAAGAATAATTAATTTTGATGATGCTTATTTGTAAAATAACATAAGAATTACCTCCTTTTCAAGGTTTTTTTGAGGACAAGGTAAGATAATGTATTGATTCAGTTTCACAGTGTCTAGCGTAAGATAGTCACACAATAAATAGTTTCTATTAAGTTTTTTAATAATCAAATTTTATTTCGTCAAAATAACGCATGTATATAAAATGAAACATATAGTACTTGTATTGGTTAAGACTTACTCTGACAACATATCATAGAAACCCTGAGTAACAATAGCTTCAGTGTTGTTGAAGTTTATCATAGAATACAAAGCATTCTAAGGTGGATCAGGTACCCTTAATAGCACTTATCACTTGACTGTATTGTCCTCTAAATCTAAATTCAGTGAGTCTGTGCTGTGCCTGATGATACAGGGTTCTTTACAAATGACAAAGGGGAGAATGTTAAATAGGCAATGAGTGTGCTTCTTATGAAAACACAACAGTCCTCTGCCCACCCCTCCTGATCCTGCTAGTTCCTCTCCTTTTTCCAACTTTTACCTTATTCCCTGGTCTATCTCTGTTCTTCAGTATTCTCTTGCTTTTATATCTTAGTTCACCTATGATGTATGGTGGATTTAGCCACCTTGCACAACCATCTCATCACTTTCCCACCCATGTTCATCCAGTATGGTCGATAAAACAATTTTTGGTTAAGCCAGTTGTCAGTGTTTATATTTTTATGACTAATGATGTTCATTGCTAATCTGAGTGGTGTATTATGATTGAATTTTTGTTATAATACAGTTTTTTGCTTTTTTTTTTGCTTTTTTTTTTTTTTTGTCTTTTTTGAGACCGGCTGCACCGTGCTCAGCCAGTGAGCGCTGTGAGCGCACCGGTCATCCCCATATAGGATCCGAACCCGCGGCGGGAGCGCTGCTGCACTCCCAGCGCCGCACTCTCCCGAGTGCACCATGGGCTCGGCCCAGTTTTTTGCTTTTTTAAATGATGTAATTGCCTCATTTTTTATTTGTTTTGTACTATATGAATCTTTTGTGAATTTTTATCATCCGCTCCCAACAGATGTCAGACACCTGTCAATAATATTTCTGTTTAGAAAATATATTATATATTATTATAATGATTATATATTTATTATCATTAATTATCTGTCAGTTCCTTCCTTTCTCTCCTGCAGAAATCCATTTCCAGAGCTACTTAGCTCAGCAATACAGCTGTTATCCTGAGGTTGCCCTTTGACTCTCTTTACTTTTAAATCTACTTCCTCTTTTTTGTGATAGTACTATATTTTGCTGGCCCATGACCTCCAGTAGTTTCCAGGAAACAGCTCTAAAGGAGGTAAAATTTCCAGGTTTTGTATGTCCAAAAATATCTTCATTCTTATCATCACACAGAATGAGAGTTTGGATGAATATAAAAATCCTGATTTTATAATCATTTTCTCTCAAAATGTTGAAGGCATTATGCCATTGTTGCCTAATTTCCATTGTTGCCAATAAAAAGTCTGATGCCTTTCTGATTCCTGCTTATTTGTATGTGATGTGTGGTGGGGTTTTGTTTGTTTGTTATTGTTTCATTTGTCTTCAGTTAGGAAAGATTAAGGTCTTCTCACTGTACAAGGTTTTATGGAGAGTCATCATGTGCCATGATGTGTGTGCTCTGTTTGCAGTTTTTCTATTCAAAATTAGTAGTTGTTGAAAAATCCTCCCCGGAAAGAAGCCGCCGGGAGTGGCCGCCACTACGCACCCGGCCTTGCAGCTGCTGCCCTCAGCACCGGGCCAGGCTGCGCAACCCCGCCACCAGGTCTCGGGGTCCGGCGACTGCAGTATCTGCCGGGGAGGGGGCTGTCGCCTCCCTGGCCCTGGGCGCCGCTGGAACCGCGAGCCAAAGAGAGACTGAGCAGGCTGTGGCACGAACAGGAGCCAGGGGCGGCAAGAGGCGACCGGGGTGGCTCTGGCTTCAGAGGCTTCTGCAGGAGTGCAACGCAGGAGCTGAGACTCACCGGAGGGAGTGGCGTGAACGCCCCGCCATCTTCCCAGTAGTCAATTTTGGACTTGCTTGACACTAGTGTCCAACTGAGTAGTCACTGAGGTAGCCATACCAAATTGGCAACCCCAACAAAATCTTAGTCAGGCAATAGTGTCAAACCTGTAGACTGTGAAACCCCCTGCCACAATGAATAAACATCAAAGAAACGACACCAGAAACATGAAAAATCAAGAAAGTACACCACCCAACGATAATAAATCTCAGGCTCTAGATCCTATAGAACAAGAAGCCCTTGAAATGACTGACAAGGAATTTCGAGTGATAATTCCAAGGAAACTGAATGAGATACAAGAAAACTCAGCTAGACATCATGATGAAACGAGGAAAAGTATACAGGACCTGAAAGAGGAAATGTACAA